AAAAGCAAGTTATGTCTCCTGCTCCTAAAGTAATGGCCATGAACAAGAGGTCACGTAGTGCCGAGGGCCTGCCACTTCAGGAAATGTCTCGAGTATGTGCTTCATGCGCTCTGCTGTTGTGTCCTGGCTGCTCTATTCTTCAAGACAGTCATCTGCAGAGGTTCTCCTTGCCTAGTATGGGCAGTGTTTGGTCTCTGGCCTGAATGTGGCAACTTTTAACTAGGTGTACTCTGGTCTGCTTGTGAAATGATACCTGTCACCACCTCCACTGGAACTGAGGCCCTGCAAAACTCTCCTGTCTACCCTATGTCTTTTGATTGTAGTGTTAACCCATTTACATTCAAAGTAATTAGTGGTAAGTATGTACTTTTTGCCATTTTGTTACTTGTTTCACTGTTGATTTCATGGTTCTCTGTTCTTGTGCTTTTTTTCATGGTTTGATGGCTCTTTTTATATGGTTAGATTCCTTTATTTTTTGCTTATTTATTATAGGTTTTTGATTTGTGGTTACTGTTAGGTTTATATATAGCAGTCTATATTAAGTTGATGCTCGCTTAAATTTGAATCCTTCCTAAAAGCAGTAAATTTTCACTCTTCTCACCCCTACCTTTTATGTATTTGGTCTTATAATTTGCATCTTTTTTTATTTTGTGAGTCCTTTAACTAATTTAAAAAATTTTTTTTTTTCAACATTTATTTATTTTTGGGACAGAGAGAGACAGAGCATGAATGGGGAGGGGCAGAGAGAGAGGGAGACACAGAATCGGAAACAGGCTCCAGGCTCTGAGCCATCAGCCCAGAGCCTGACGCGGGGCTCGAACTGACGGACCGCGAGATCGTGACCTGGCTGAAGTCGGACGCTTAACCGACTGCGCCACCCAGGCGCCCCTAATTTTTATAGATATAGTTAATTTTACTACATTTGTGCCTCCTTTTTTTTTTTTTTTTTTTTACTCCTGCTTATGGTCTTTCCTTTCCACTGAAAGAATACCCTTTAACATTTCTTGTAATGCTGGTTTAGTGGTGATAAATTCCTTTATCTTTTGTTTGCAAAACTCTTTATCTCTTCTATTCTGAAGAAATAGCCTTCCTGGATAGAGTATTCTTGGTTTCAGTTTTTGTTTTTGTTTTATTCCTTTAGGACTTGGAATATATCATGCCACTTGCTTCTGGCTTGAAAAGTTTCTGCTGAAAAATCAGTTGATGGTCTTATGGAGTTTCTCTTTTATGTAACTGTTTTCTTGCTCCTTATAAAATTTTCTTATTATCACTGCCTTTTGCCATTTTAATTTTATGTCTTGGTGTGGACCTCCTTGGATTGATTTTGTTGGGGAGCTCTCTGTGCCTGCCTGGATTTCTGTTTCCTTCCCCAGATTTGGGACATTTTCATCTATTATTTCTTCAAATAAATTTTCTGCCCCCTTTTTCTTCTCTTTCTGGGATCCCTGTAATGCAAATGTTATTGGGCTTGATGGTATCACTGAGTTCCCTTAATCTATTCTCATCTTTTTGCTGTTCAGCTTGATTATTTTTTATTACTCTGTCTTATAGGTCACTGATCTGTTCTGCCTTCTCTAGTCTACTGTTTATTCTTTATAGTGTATTTTTAATTTGAATTATTATGTTCTTCATCTCTGTTTGGTTCTTTTTTATATTTTCTATCTCTTTGTTGAGGGTCTCACTGATATCCTCCTCTCTTTTCTCGAGTGAGTATCTTTATGGCCATTACTTTAAATTATTTATCAGGCATATAACTTATCCCCACTTTGTTTAGCTCTTTTGCTGACTTTGTCCTGCCTTTTCATTTGGAACATATTTCTCTGTCTTCTCATTTTTTCTAACTCTCTCTGTGTTAGGAAAGTTAGCTGTGTCTCCTGCTCTTGAAAGTAGTAGCCATCTGAAGAAGAGGTTCTATAGTGCTGTGCAGTGCAGTGTCCCCTCTTCACTAGAAACAGGTGCTTTAGGGATGTCTCCTATATGTGTTTTGTGCTCCCTCTTGTGGGTAAGCTGTGTTTGCCTTTAGTCCAGTGATCTGCAGTGGTTCTCTTTTCCTGTTGTTGGCAGGTTTTAGTCCTTGTATTTTGAATGGTGAGTTTGAGGATGCCTTGGACTTAAGGTGGGTCAGGGCTATGGTCATACCAGACTGCAGGGTGCTATCCCAGTGTTGTCCCTTGAGAAGCTTTTGTGGGTGGGTGGGGCCTGCAGTCAGACCAGATGTTTGCCCCCACCCACTGCTAGGGTCAGAATCAGAGTGGTATGTGTGGTTCTCTTCCCCTCTCCCTACAGCAGGAGTCACTTTGGAGTGGTACTGCCTACTGTCTGGGCTGCTTGCACAATGCCATGCCTGTGACACTGCCTTGGATGGACTCCTGCTGAAGTCAGGTCTACAGGAGAATATGGGGGTGGGGCACGCTGTTAGTGAGCTCATAGGAGAGTGTTCTTGTGGGTGTCCCATGTCTCTAGTTTGGGGGTTGGGGAGAGAAATGGCACCTCCAGCTCTTTTGTTCTTGGGTAAGTCTCCTAAAATTCCTGCCCCTCTAGAACATCTTCAGAAATTAGAAAATAAATCTTTCTATATAGCACAGGTGTTTTTCAAACTACTACTTTAGTGCCTTATCTCAGTGTGATTGTTATGCTCTGGCTCTCCCAGAGCTGAGTCTGCTGATTTTGAAATTATCAGGTGTCAAGCTCCACTGATTGACAAAACTCATGAAGTTAAGCCTCTCTGGTTTTCAAAGTCATATAATGTGGGGATTCATTTTCCCAGTGCTGGTCACCCATGCCTGGTGTGGGGTCTGCTTGTCTCCTTTTTTTTTATTAAAAATAATTTAACATTTATTTATTTTTGAGAGACACAGAGAGACCAGAGTGCAAGCAGGGGGGGAGCAGAGAGAGAGGAAGACAGAGAATTTGAAGCAGGCTCCAGGCTCTGAGCTGTCAGCCCAGAGCCCAATGCAGGACTGAAACCCATGAATTTCGAGATCATAACCTGAGCTGAAGTTCGATGCTTAACCAACTGAGCCACCCATGTGCCTCTCTCCTTTCTCCGTGCTTGTGGTGTCTTTCCCTCCTGCAGATAGTCTTGTGGGTCAGTTTTGTTCCAGACCATATGTCTGCACATCCTCCCATTTTTTTTTTTTTTTGATGTGGTCTCTTCTGTACAATTAGCTGTGGAAGGTCCGTTCTGCCAGTCTTTAGGTCATTTTCTGGGTTATTTACACTGATATGGGTTATTTAGCTGTATCTGTGGGATGAAGTGAGCTTAGGATCTTCCTACTTTTATCATCTTCCCTTGAACACTGACCATGCCATGATTTTTGCTTTCTAATTTTCTAGTCATCAAATCAAAAAGAGAAGTGAGCTTAGTTTAGGATGATTTACTCGTAGTAAACCTATACTGTCTTCTTATGATTACCATGTTGTTTTCTTAAGTGTCTATAATTCATCTATGTAGTAATTTGATTTTAGACTTTACTGGGCAACTGCATCAAAGCTTATTACCCCTTTGTAGTTTTCACGCTTTTTTTGAAAATTGAGTCAATGTTTTACTATTTTCATTCTTCTCAGTTTTACTATATTTGCACACTTAGTATCCTAGATGTAATTATGTCTGGCCTGTAGCTTTGAACTTATTTAAAACAGTTTTAGACTTCAGCTACTTATTTATAACACATGTGCCCCTTCTATTTTAAAGAAGACTATTTCCTTAATCAATGAGATGGAAGCAAAGAAAAGGTTGATTAGCCTGATTTTAGTCCATTATCTGGTAACCTATTGCTATTTTTTTTCAAGCAGTGAACTGTAAGCTTTAGTTTATTCTGTGATCTAGCCTTCCTGACAGGCTTACAGGTTATTACTTTAAAATTAAAAAAAATTGTTATATGTTTTTCTATCTCTTATTTGTGTTCTTTAAATCTGAGTTTATTTGAAGGTTACCTGTTACAATGAAATAAAATTGATTTATTTAGATTTTTTTTCTTCATTAGGATTAATTCTAATTTTAGTCTTTCACTCCTCTTGAACAGTATTCACCTTTATTCATCTTTAGCTGTGAGCTTATAATTATATTTTTTGTGCTCTTTTAGAAGTTTAGGGAACATGTAGAATCAAGGATGTAAAAAGTGGTCAGTACAATTCCTAACACACAGTAATATCATTTCTAATCCCACATTTCCTTATCTCTATCTTGGAGGCAGTAATAAAATTGTTGCCACCTACCGATGCCTGTAAATCCTTCCAAGTGTCTTTTGGAGTACTGTGTCTTTTGGGAGGTCCTCTTCGCTATCATATGACACGAGTGGTATTGGCCTCTTCTCTCTTCTGTGTGCATGTCATTTTCACTGCCACTGGGATCTGGTGCAAACCTAGAACTCTGACCCTAAAGCACCCCCATGAGACCTCATATTGGTATTCGGGAAGTCTGTACCCTATTCTTCCAACTCTTGGGGTTTATTTTTCTTTCTGATCTCCCTTCTGATTTATTCAATCTTGTGAAAAACTTCAGCAATTTTAATAGGCTGCAATGTGGAAATTTTTCCTTGAATTGTTAATACCTCCACTAGCTGAGTCAGGTACCTGTATGTGTAATAGATACAACTGGCAACCACTTGAAGCAAGAGTAAAAGTATAGAATATTCTGGACCGGTCCCTGCATTTCTACCCTTGATGTGTTTATTAGATAACCTCAGGAATTAATAGCCATTTCTAGCAATTCCTAAAAGTGCTTACTGGAAATTGTGCCGGAAACTATTCTTTGCTACCTATAAATCTGCTTTTCCCACCCTGTCCCCCTTTACGTGCTGATGGCTTTTTAACTAACCACTTATTAGCAATTGTAAACTCTTCTTAGATTTTGAAACAGTGTCTTAAGCCACCCTCCAGTGCTTTCCTAATGAGCATTGTGTTTGAAACTAAAATATCAGTATTTTATATTAGGGTAGGGGACTAAAATGGGGAACCAAAAAAGTTTATTTTGTTTTCCTCTTTTTAAAACAATGCAGGTTGATGAGCTACCCTTTTCCCAGTTGCCTTCATCCACTAGAGCCAAGGATGTGATCTGTTCCACCAATGTTTCTCACTATGAACTCCAAGTGGAAATTGGTAATTATCCTGAATTGATCCTTCATTGTTAGAAATGAAATTGATGGCACAAAGATTATTTTGTGAGTGGGTTTTTCTCTGTTGTCACCTATGTTAATAAGGCTACATGTTAATTGTATCAGTCAGATGGATCTATTAATTTTACGTCTTCCCTAAAATAGCAGCCCCAATTTTCAAGATTACTTTCTAGAATTTTTACTTTTTCACTCAAGTATTTTTAGAGAAGGAAGACACTAAGTAATCTAAATATTATTTGTGTCTTTATTGTAGGAATCTTCTGATTTTATGTCTATAATTTATACTCGGTATGAAAAATCATGTAAATCTTTTTAGTCACAGTCTTTTAACCAAGTTTCTTTTAACTTAAAAACTTACCTAGGGTCACCTTAATGGCTCAGATTTCAGCTCAGGTCATGATCTCACAGTTCATGAGATTGAGCCCCAGGTTGGGCTCCACACTGGGCATGGAGTCTGCTTAAGATTCTCTCTCTCCCCCTCTGCTGATACCCCTCCTCTAGTCACACCTGCATGCACTCTCTTTCAAAAACAAGACAAGACAAAACAAAAACTTACCTAAAACCCCATTTATAGTAAACACCTTTCTCAGTTAAGTTTGGAACAAGATGAATTATTGTTTATAGCCATATACATGTGAAATTTTTGTGGTGAATATTCAGAAACATCTATTAAACACTGCAAACAGATACTCTGTTAGATGCTAGGGATATAAAACACTTGAGGAATCCATATTCTTTCTGGGAAGTTGAACACATAAGATAGCCTTGTTTATGTACTAGAGAGTACTGAAGTAGAGATGTGTTAAGTATTACAGGAACAGAAAAGATGAAACATCTGACCATCCATCTTGACTACTGTGAAAGTCGCAAGAAAGATCGCAAAAATGAGCTGGATTCTGAAAAATGAGGAAAAGTTTGCTGAATGTTCTATTCAGGGTTTTTGTTACAAACAACAGAAAACAATCCTGACTAACTTAAGAGAGGAATTTTTTGAACAATATTGTTAACTGACAGAATTATTGGCTAGAGAGATAGACTTGGAAGAAGCTAAGCGAAGCTGCATAACTAGAACCAGAGCCAGGGCCATGGCCTAGGAACAGCCTAGTTAGTGTATTACCTGTTAGAGTACTTATGTCCCAGACAGTGGAACCCACTGCAGGAAGTTCTGACTGCCTCTGCTTCTGTTTGTCACTAACTCCATCCTTTAGTTAGCTAAGCATAGGTCATTGATGTTCACATGGCAGGGTCAAGGAAGCCAAGAGCAAATAAGGATCTGACCTTTCCTAAAATAGCACTAGTGGAAAATGCCCCCAAATTAGAATGGACATTCAGATGATGTCAATTCAAAAAAGGTAAAAACAGAATTACTTCAGTAGATGACTGAGGAAGAATGGTTAGTGGGGAACCTAAACAACCCCCCACTTGTTGCCTACAAGAGTAGGTAGTGGTCGGAGACAAATCTAGAAAGGGAGGTTTGGAACACCTGTGAAAGACCTCATATGGTGTATTTACAAGTTCAGACTCTCATCCCTCACAACTTACCCACTTCATTGCTCAAAGCATTTAAGCCACAAGTTTGGAATTTATTCCCTCTGTGCTTGAGATACATTGTGGAACAGTGACAATGGTAATAATACCATCTAACAGGCACTGAGCTGAACATTTCATGTGTAGTTTTTCATGTCAGCCTTTTACCACTCCTATTTGGCTGATGAAGATACTGAGCCTCTGAGAATTCAAGTAGCAATCCTACGACTAGTGATTTTAAAGCAAACCTTTCTGACTGGAGGGTCTAAGGTCTCAGGTGCTGCACAGTAGTACTCTTCTAGTGATAAAATGCTGAGTTCTAGAGGGAAAACTGGCAGCAATTCCAGGCAGCAGTCTGGAAGATGTAGACAGTGATTTACAACTGGAAGTATCATCCATATCACCTGAGTCTTTAAAAATTGCAATGCCTATATCCCATCACAGACCTAACGAATCAAAATTTCTGGTGAATTGGACCTAGGTATAGGCTTTTGAAGTAGATCCCCCAGTAATTTGGGAGCATGTCTTAGTTGAGAATGTAGAACATGATAAGGAAGTCACCACATTTGACCAGCAAAGGAGGACAGGACTTGAACTAAGGCAGTCATGCTGACACTGGAGTGAAAGGGATGAATTTGTGGTTAACTTCATTTCAAAGATAAGTGGCAGAATTTGGTGACTGTGGAAAGAGAGAGGAACTAACATTTATTAGATGCCTATTGATAGGTGCCACTCCAGGTGTTTTATATTTTAAAAACTGATGATACCAAATGCTGTTCAGTATGTCAAGCAGCTATAGCTCTTATAGATTGTTCGTGGGATTAAAAATGGTTCATCCACTTTTAAAACCAGTTTTGCAACTTCTTATAAGGTTAAATATAGGTGACCCAGCAATCCCACTTGCCAGTATCTGCCAAAGAGAAATGAAAGCATATGTCTACTTAAAGAATGTTTTCGCAGCTTAATAGTCACCAAAAACTGAAAACAACCCAAATATTTATCAACTTATGAATGGATAAATAAATTGTGACTTGTCCATAGTAATGGATTATTACTCAGCAATGAAAGAAGCTATGAAAACAACATGGAACAAACTCAAAAGCATTATGCTAAGTAAAAGAAACTAGACACAAAAGACTGTACTCTTTATGATACCATTTATGTGACAGAAATGACATCAGTGGTGTAGGAATTGCTGATTGTATCCTGTTGTTTGAATTTGTCATAATTTGTTTATCAGGTCACAATTTTAGCCATTATAACAGATATGTAATGGTGTATCATTGTGGTTTTTTATTTGCATTTCTCTATCTTGAGCATCTTTTCATGTGTTTATTGGACATTCCTATATCTTTTTTTGTGGATTGCCTATTTAATCATCTGAATATTTTTGTTTAAGATTTTTTTAAGTTTATTTTGAGAGAGTGTGTGCTCACGAGGGGGAGGGGACAGAGAGAGAGAGAGAGAGAGAGAGAGAGAGAATCCCAAGTAGACTCCACACTGTGAGCACGGAGGCCAACATGGGGCTCGAACCCACAAACCATGAGATTGTGACCTGAGCTGAAATCAAGAGTCAGATGCTTAACCAACTGAGCCACCCAGGCACCTCTGCATATTTATTGAAATTAAAATACAATTTTTGAAAGAGCAAGTGAGTGAGCACAGAGAAGGGGCAGGTAAAGAGAATCTTAAGCAGGCTCCACACTCAGCACAGAGCCCAACATAAGGCTCAGTCTCAAGACTGTGAGATCATAGGGTGCCTGGGTAGCTCAGTCAGTTGAGCATCTGACTTCAGCTCAGGTCACGATCTTGCAGCTCGTGAGTTTGAACCCTGCGTTGGGCTCTGTGCTGACAGCTCAGAGCCTGGAGTCTGCTTTGGATTCTATGTCTCCCTCTCTCTCTGCCCCTAACCCACTCGCATTCTGTCTCCATCTCTCTCAAAAATAAATAAACATTAAAAAAAATTTTTTTTAAAAAGACCATGAGATCATAACCTGAGCTGAAATCAAGAGTCTGACACTTAACCAACTGAGCCACCCAGACACCCCAAATCTTATGCATATTTTAAAATTTAGTATAAGTTTGTATAGAATTGTAAAAATTCTGTTGGTATAGAGTTGTAAGAATTTTTTATATATACTGGATGTAAGCATAGTTAATACTTTCAGTCAGTGGCTTATCTTTTCATTTTCTTAACAGTATTTTCTTGAAGAGCAGTTTTAAATTTTGATGTTGTCCAAATTGTCAGTTTTTTTCTTCTTTGGTTACTAACATGAGTTTTACATCTGACTGTAGGAAGAGGATTTGACAACTTGACTTCTGTTCATCTTGCCCGGCATACTCCTACAGGAACACTGGTGACTATAAAAATTACAAATCTGGAAAACTGCACTGATGAACGCCTGAAAGCTTTACAGGTAACAAAATGAAAAAAAATGATTTATTTAATGTCTATTTGAGGAGATTACATCTGTAAGAATTTTTTTTACCAAATTAATATTTCTTTCTGTTAGAGGAGGTTAGATTTCTTTCTTCTAATGAATATGCAAGTACAGAATTGGAAGGAATACTTGGAATCCAGATCCACAGAAGAACAAATATATTCAAACTTTGGTAATTACTGTAAATTCCTTCAAACGAATATCATATTCAAAATGCTGGTCTGGAGATTTACAATAATCTTAGTCCAATCACAAATAGTCAAATGAGGAAATAGAAAAAACAAAAGCATACAGTTTCCTTTTCATCCAGGTAAGTAAAATTAACTTCTGAATGAATAAATTTTAACAGAATTGCATTTTAGGAATATTATAATACCATTTTCATTGTCACTAATTTTTTTTCAATTTCAAATTAAAAAAAAATTTTCAAATTTATTTAAATTCAAGTTAGTTAACATACAGTGTAGTACTGGTTTCAGGAGTAGAACCCAGTGATTCATCACTTACATATAACATCCAGTGCTCATCCCAATAAGTGCCCTCCTTAAAGCTCATCACCCATTTGGCCCATCTCCACCTACCTCCCCTTCAGCAACCCTCAGTTCTCTATATTTAAGAGTCTCTTATGGTTTGCCTCCCTCTCTGTTTTTATCTTATTTGTCCTTCCCTTCCCCTATGTTCATTTGTTGTGTTTCTTAAATTCCACATATGAATGAAATCATATATTTGTCTTTTTCTGACTGATTTCTTTCACTTATCATAATTCTCTCCAGTTCCATCCACATTGCTGCAAATGACAAGATTTCATTCTTTTTGACTGCCAAGTAGTATTCCATGGTGTGTGTGTGTACCCAGGCACCTCTGCATATTTGTTGAAATTAAAATTTTTGAAAGAACAAGTGTGTGTGTGTGTGTGTTTATGTATGTATGTTGTGTATATATACATATAAATGTATATATATATACACACACACACCACATCTTCTTTATTCATCAGTCAGACATTTGGGCTCTTTCCATAATTTGGCTATTGTTGAAAGCTCTGCTATAAGCATTGAGGTGCATGTGCCCCTTCAAATCAGCATTTTTGTATCGTTTGGATAAATAGTAGTGCAATTG